GTCGTGTAATGTTAACCTAGGATTTTGTTCTAGCTGATTGAGCAGTCGAGTTCGGATATCTGTGAAACGAGGAGATTGAAGACTGCATATGAGAATCAAGGCTTTGAATTGATCATCTGTTAAGGACCTGAGTTGAAATCTCTCACATTCTCGGTTGACTGTGCCAACGTGAGTAGGAAAATCATCATTTTCATTCATTGTCAGCTTGAGGCAACGATAACGTATGCTGAATAATGAGGAGTGGTCTCCAAAATGTTCACGCAGCAGCTTTATTGTATCATCGAAACACTTGTCACGTGGTTTTTGGGGTAAACGGTACTGCAACCTAATTTTACCCCAGAAACCACGTGACAAGTGTTTCGATGATACAATAAAGCTGCTGCGTGAACATTTTGGAGACCACTCCTCATTATTCAGCATACGTTATCGTTGCCTCAAACTGACAATAAATGAAAATGATGATTTTCTTACTCACGTTGGCACAGTCAACCGAGAATGTGAGAGATTTCAACTCAGGTCCTTAACAGATGATCAATTCAAAGCCTTGATTCTCATATGCAGTCTTCAATCTCCTCGTTTCACAGATATCCGAACTCGACTGCTCAATCAGCTAGAACAAAATCCTAGGTTAACATTACATGACATAGCTGATGAATATCAAAGGCTGATTAATCTGCAGAAAGACACACACCTGGTCGAATCAACACCTTCGAGAAGCTCTGATATTCATGCATTACGAAAGAGCAAAAATCTCTTATCATCCAGTCCTGACCCACGTTCTTCTAATGTTCCACGGAAATCTACACATACTCGTCCAACTTCACAAATTACTGCAAAGAAGACCCCACCATCGCCATGCTGGCATTGTGGCGCATGGCACTTTGTAAAGTCTTGCCCAAACAAAAATCATCGTTGGAGCAAGTGCAAAATCATCGGTCATAAAAATGGTTTTTGTCAGCCACGCAAACCCAGATATCAAAATACAGCAAAAGCTCGACAAACTGTTGGTCCTAAATCTCCAAGGAGATCATTGAATCTACTCGCAACCTTTCAAGTTACAACACCAGCTATGAGGAAATATATTGACCTTCAGATGAATGGTCACGATGCACGTCTGCAGCTAGATACCGCCTCTGATATTACTATTATATCAGAAACTTGGGAATAATATGGGCAGACCACCAATCGCAAATACTTCTCAGACTGCTGTCAGCGCCTGTGGTGGGCGGCTGAAACTAATTGGTGAACTCAAATGTTCTGTTTCCTTCCGCAATATCAAATTCACAGGAATTTGTTACGTCACTAAGAGTGATTTAAATCTTTTGGGACTTGATTGGTTCGATCGTTTGCATCTGGCTGATTTCCCACTAAATTCTCTATGCAATGCAGTGAAGAAGCATAAAATGCCAGACAATTCCGGACGAAGCCGAAGCCGCAAACCCAACAGGCAGACGAAGCAACAGACGTCAACGACAAGCTCAACGGTTCGAGATAAACCCCCAAGAAAACACGCTACTAAACATCAATCTTCTCAAAAGGGGAGGTGATATGTATCCATCTAATGTGTGTTTGTTTGACAGTCTGTTATATTTGCTAGGTATATATGGATCGATATTCCATTATAATTAGCCAATCATGTTAAGACTATATTGATTTGTTCATTTTGGATATTTGCTCACACACTTGTTCAGACATTCACACTAAATTGCTCTCTCACACTTGTGTGACATTGATTTTCCTTGCGTTTTGGAAAATAGAAGTATCATCGCAAACCTAGTGGTCTTCTGATTTCCTTCCTTTTGCGTCAGGACAATTAATTTCTCAACCAGTACATAACAATTAAGCGCTTTAAACTGCTCATTTTTCAGCTTGATAAATCGCCTTCTTTGTACTATCGCTGCTACGTATTACGCTGACGCATGTTTTTTTCGAACACTTAAATGTATTTTTTTATATTTCAGTGTTCTGGTGGGGGAATTATGTAGTACCCCTATACCAACTGTAAACATGCTTTTTAATCTAATTCGTATACTTGTATTATATGTGTACACAGACCGATTTTATTTGTACTTCGCAAATATTTGTTAATTTACTGTTGAACATTACCTTAACACAATTTCGAATTTGACTACTGCTATGATATACATTCGTACTCTTCACAAGTGCCTTTTGATTTACGTTGTGGGCGTCGAGTAGCCACAACGTCTGCGCACATTAATAAGAGCGAAGAAATACTAGAATATACGTGTACGGCAGTTTAGTCAAATAACGCACGCAACACATTCACTGCCTATCACTTTCGAGTCTGACAGCTTCAAACTTTATAGCTTTCTGTTGGACATCAACAAGTGGTCTAAGTCAAATGGTCTTATGTTAAATCCTTCCAAATGTCAGGCAGTTGACTTTACTTTCAAGCATCGACGTGACTTACATGAATTAGTTGGTTCCTATGATGCCTGTAGCATAGATGGCACGGAGATTGAAACCAAGTCAAGCATTAAATACCTTGGATTAGTTCTTTCCTCTGACCTTTGATGGTCATCCCACATCTTATCTAGCTCTAAGAAAATGTTTCGTCTTACCTTCTACATTAAAAAGTTAAGACAATCAGGTATCAACCAACCTTTAGTTTTGCAATTTTTAAACTCCTGTATTTTACCTATTGTACTCTATTGCTCTCCATTAATCTTTCCTGGGTTTCTCAAAAAAGATTATATCATATTACGAAGAGTATTAAATGCTGTGAGTAGAGCTTGTGGTCTGCCACTGAGTGAGCTCGCTAATACTATAGTCGAGAGGCATATGAATTCATGTACAAAATGGGCAAAGGCTGTACTGTCAGACCGTCTGCACCCCCTTTATTCACAACTATCCCATTGCATCTCATCAGGTAGGACAAGAAGTCAATATAAAAAGTTATATGCTCGCACCACTTAGTACAGAAATTCTATAATACCTTATTAAGCCCGTACTTTATGTGACGAAGACTGTTAGACGTGAAACACATAAGTTACTATGTAATAAGCACAGTGAATCGACCCTTTCATTGTCCAGCTTTCTGTATTATATAGTGTCACACTTTCTATCGTTTAATTATAATTTTGCTGTTTTATTTTAGTTGTTATTACTATTATTACTACAATTTTATACTTTATGCATATTTTTCACCTTATTGCACACAGTATTTTGCTATGTAGCTGCTATAACAAAGTTTTATTATTATTATGTAATGTTTATTTATTTATTTTGTTTGTCGTTTTTGAGTAAATTAGATGCAATATTGTGCTGAATGCTGAAAATTCCTTCCTGCATTATTAGTACTGTTTTTGGAATAAAGCAAATTATCATTATCATTATATTGGTAAAAAGACGCTAACTAGGGAACCAACATGTATCACTCAAAACAGGTAATAGCTTTTGATTTACTATCCTTGAAGTGTCACTAAACAGATTCGAAATCATCTTCGTAGAAGTGACTGCCTCAGTGGAAAGTGTATAAACAAAGAGAAAAAATTGGTGACTCTTAAGCTAATTGCCATCATTCACTGTGTGATGGATGTTAAATAACTGTTAATTAATTGTCATAAGACTGTAAATCGGTGTTCGTTGTCCTTGTCATTCTTGAAAATGGTACATTTGTAACCTTACCTGTATTCTTTCAGAAATAGGTTACTATGATGCGTATTATTAAGTTTGAAATAGCTCATCTATACGGGCATTCTCAGTCTTCACTTGATTGCTTCCTGTCATCTAATGCTCAAAATCATAACACACTAATCGCTAAATCATCCGATTTTTACTAGCCATTCTCCAGGTGGATGTTTTATCACATAGAGAAAGGAAGGCGATGTAGCTCGCTATCTGTCTGATTATACTGTTCGTCGAGTTAACGGCTGATTCTGGCGCCTTATTTAGTTGGAAAATATAAATTTAGTAGGTTTGTTCTAAATTATTGCATCCTCAATGAGCTAGCTAGCTAGTGTGAGGCTGAATCTCAGAGTCTAGAGAGGAGTACAACTATGGCATAGAAAAGAGTGACTAAGATGTTATGAAACAACTTTGTCGAATTGGTTCTGTCTGCAATCACACAGCATAATCTACTGTCAACTGAGAGATTAATGTGCTAGATTTACTAACACATCTCGCCGCCACTGTGGATTGGATTGTGGAGAATAAGCGCTCCCTCTTGGTTACTCCTGAAGATCCAATTCGCTAAACTTTTATTTATATGACGTGCTGCCTATTTATCACATTAGTCAATGAAAGCTTTATAATTACACATCTAAGGTTCTACATTGGTAGACAGTGCTAATTATATATGTCCTCTCAAGAAAGCCGAAAATGTCATTTTAATTCGTTCTAAGATTGTGCAGTACGAAGTTTTTGCCTCGGTTTCATTCATACTAATATTCGCTTACTCTCGATATGCGAATGATGTATAACCAAGGAAGTTTTATCATCCATGCGGAACAGAGTGCAGCTTTCTGTAAACTCTACTTGCATTATGCGGACAACATATGCAGGTAACACACATTTGGACTAAAATGTCGAATACTCGCATCAAATATTAGTTTCTGCAATACACACTTTGTTAAGCGTTCCAAGGTGAGTTAAGAACTGCCCAATCAATCAATCTATCGCTTCTCAAATAACACATCGCAACCTAGACGTTTTGACTCCATTTCGTATTTCTTTACTTGATGTTGACCGAGTCGAGTCCGAACGAATGTGTCCCTACGTATATAGTATCAAGGCGCAACCACAGTCCCATATACTTGCACTAATCATGATAAATTTAGTTGTGACCAATATATAAATACTGTGCCCACTGACACTCTTTCAGTCAATATTACCGGTAACTGCATAAAACTTATCAAAAAGGAAGAGATTTTGTCAAAGTTTCATCTCCACGAACAATTTTTATTACACAATTTCAGCAAAATAACAACATTCCAATAATTCCAAAGACTATTCACTTATTATCTTCACGCGCATGGAATTTAGTTCACTAAGATTTTTTCAACTGTGTCCAACTGACGAGATATATCTTCGTTAATACTGTCATCATCTTCCCAAGGTTCTTTCAATTTATCTCCTCTATCAACTTCAGCCATACTATTCGGTGCTTTCTGTAAATTCTCTTCTTTTGTCTTCTGATTCATTGGTTCGTTGAAATTTTGCGTCAAATCATCACTTTCTGGTGTCTCATATGCGTAAGGCTCATTGTTCATTGAGTTGTCAGCAACACTTTCTAGTGTATTTGGTTCATTTTCAATCGAAATCGGATACTGGCGTGGCAACATTTCATTCCAGTCTTCAGGTGATCCTTTCTCGTGGTCTTGGAGATTGTTTACAGAATTCTCATTGATAGCATTAATGGCGGTTGTGAATGTGAGTATAGTGTATAACAGTAAGACAGGAGACATGCTTTCAATTCCTATAAGATGGTAGACTGACAAAACTTTGCGAAACTTTTTGTTATAAATATAAAATATTTACAAGGTCGTCCGTCGTGAGTGGTATTCACTTCTGCCCTTGTTTCAAATTACTTCTATAAATGCCTTTCAATTGGTCAACAATGATTTCTACTCACATATCTGAATAATTGAATTAGTCATTTGAATTGTAATCGATAGTGTCTGTCATTGGTCAAAGTGATGGTCAAAAATTTCATTTCCCTCGACAAAATTTAATTTAGTCTATAAATGACTGCTGATTGGTCAGATATTGAAAAATTGATTTTTATTACGTTGTGGGAGACTGCACTATATTGTTAGTGTTAACAGTGAATTCACGCAAATAATACTGTAGACATAGAAATGGAGAATATATATATATATATATATATATATATATATATATATATATATATTGCAGCCAATAGAATACATGGATATAGTAGCGATTTTCTAGGCGGTGATAAATAGGCGAACAATGATCTTTAGGAGGAAAATGGTTACGTGTCTTTATCAAATAAATTTATTCTTATTCAAGTGTTGGGTTGTAGGGATTTGATTGGTTTACAGGATTTCATCATGAGCTGACATTGGTTAGAGAACCATTGAAAAACCAGCCTGGGAGTACTGGACAGCTGTTTCGTCAGCCTAGTTTGGGAGTCTTCAGCAGTACGCACCCACCGGGATTCGAACCCAGGTTCTAGTGAGAAGTCGTGACCAGTAGGATTTAGCAGGTTGGGTGTGAGGACAAATACGTGCCGAAGACATTGGCTAGGGGTCGCGCTATGTCGTGAATCAGCAGAAGTTAGAATTCATGGGCAATTGGATCGGGTATACGAGCTCGCCTTGCAACCAGAAGGTCCCGGGTTCGGACCCCAACGGGGCTGTTGCGTATTGCTGAAGAGTCCCAAACTAGGACGAAACAGCTATTCAGTACTCCCAGGTTTTCCAATGGTTCTCTAACTAATGTCAGCTCATGATGAAATCCTGTAAATTTATGCTTAGGTGAAGTTATACTGCATCTCAGAGTTAAATTGTATTCTAATATCAGCATGAAAGAGAATAACATTATGAGCAGAAATGTTGGCACTGGGTTCGTGTTTCGGTGGAACCATCATCACCCGCTGCGCAATGCAGTTACATCCAACGACGAGTCTTAAATAGGAAAATATGCTCATCTTGGATTCCACCGCTAGTCGCCATCCACCAATTAACTACCGTAATTCTTCTTTGTGTTGTTATTCATTTAAATAATTATCCGTTTTTAAAACATTTATTTCCCGATACGAATTTAAAACAAGCAATAGAGGTTAATAAAGCAGGATTTAATGAATTCATCAAATTTCGGTAGAACTCGTCAGCCACTGAATACTCTACATACACGGATACATATATATCTACTTTTGAAATTACATTGGGAGATATGAGACTGATAAGTAGGCTAACTACATTGATGCAGTTCTTCCTATTAATAAACTTGAACTTGTTCAAACTGCATTGAATTAGTCATGCAGAGCGACACGTGCGAATGTTTTCCAGGTCATGTTCAAATAGATAAGGGGAGAGAGAGTATGAGAGATCAAAATTAAGATAAATTGCATTACGCTTCAATTACATCACTTAGATAAACAATTAGGCGTTAGGGTATATAACGAGAATTGCAAACAGACTAATATCAATAGTAATAGTTATAATAACAATAATAATAATAGTGTTGAAGTGAGTTAAGATAATCTTACGGATAAAGCATAGATTTAAATGAATCAAGAATAATAATAATAAGAGGTAGAATAATAAGTAAAACGTAGTACCTTGGTAGATTCAGAGTCACGACCATCTCCTTTTGTACACAGAAACCTGGTTTATAAACTCGAATTGCATAAGCCTCTGCAATTGCAAGCATCTTCTTGTTTCTTTTCTGCTGACAATAACAGTGAATGACTTGACTGCGTCGATATCATGTCCATAATTCACAAGATGTTTTGTTATTGAGGATTTTGGGACTTTGCACTCACTCAACTGTTTTCAACCATTTCGGCATATGCTTCATCATGCAAGTAGACAATCGCCTTTCCGTACGACCTATCTGTTTGCTTCCACAAACACACTCATCAGATTGAAATACCCGGAGTTTGAAGTGTCTTACTTACTTTACTTCGGCTATCTCCTACGGGAGGATGAACCGGCTTCATAAACATCTCGAATGTTTGTAAGAGAGTTGATGAAGTTTGAAGTGTCGAGGATTGGCGACTGGTTTTTCTCAGATTGTTGAAGCACTCGCTTAGTGGTGTTAAGGAAAACAAGTTTTGCAGTATAATAAGTTCTCTTGATGGCTTTGTCGAGTCTTCGTTCGACTACTTCTTCTACATCATCTCCTTTGAACTTATCGGTCTTGTATCTTCCAATGTAATTTCAAAAGTAGATATATATATCCGTGTATGTAGAGTATTCAGTGGCTGACGAGTTCTACCGAAATTTGATGAATTCAGTAAATCATCCTGCTTCATTAACCTTTATTGCTTGTTTTGAATTATCTGTTTGTTGGAACACTAACTGTTCCAAAGCTAAGTAAATTGCACCTGAATCGTTTAGTAAAATAGATGACAAATCGTAATGAAACATAAGTCATGTTTGTCTTTTTTTTTGACTTTTATTTTGTCTTTCTATTGACTTGAAATCTGACTTCTTTCATTGTGTGGCTTATTCTTTATTATTTTGATAAATTCGATCTTTAATAATGTGCCTGTTGATCGCTAGTTCATTTGAGTAGCATGCTTCTAAGAATTCCCTGGTTATTTTTAGTGCTGAAAATTTCTATATTTATCCAATCACATTAGTATCCATCTATGTCTACATGCATTGAGTTGAAAGAATACATGCCGGGTATTTTGACAGCTAGTTTATGTTTTTCAACTCATAGTCGAAGTAGATATGTAAAAACAGAAGACAAGGGCCGGAAATACATCCTTTTATTACGGAAATCAGCACGTATTTATATATATTTCATGTACATTATTATAGCTTATTCAAGCAAACAGACACAGTCTTCTGATTGGTTGTTTCTGGTTTCTCGGAAAGTTACGCCATATATCTGCGAATCATATTTGCCCACGTTAAGTCTGCTGTGATTGGTTGTTGAATCAGCCTTGTTCAGATTTTTTCTCACGGCCAATATTAGTGACCTAGGCATTGACGTAAATTAATGTCTACCCGTTGGCTGACAGCCTGCTCTCACCACACTCGTGCCCCCGTCAAATAGTTTGGACTGAAGTCGGCTTGATCTTCTTGGTGTGGGCGTCATCGTTGGCTTGTCTCGCTGTATCCATTTCTGGAGGTCGCTGACGTTCACGCGCTTCTCCTTGTTCGCCATTGCGATTGTGTCTGCGTAACCCCATCTCGAAGTGACCATATGTGGTCCTTCCCACTTTGGAAACTGTTTGCCTGACCCTGTCACACATTCGTCGGTATTTCGACTCACACTTTCATATGCTGCTTTCGCCCGACCTCCCAGCAGCGTCCCGAGGAGCAGCTTCATCGTTGACAGATCTTGAACGCCACTCAACTGTGCAGAAGCTTTGAAGTCCTGTCCGAAGATCCATATGTCTCCATCAAAAAACTGCAGGGCATAGGCTTTCCATTTGTCGGTAGGCAGTGACACCAAATGTAACAACAGAAGACAAGGGCCGGAAACAGATCCTTTTATTACGGAAATCAGCACGTATTTATATATATTTCATGTACATTATTATAGCTTATTCAAGCAAACAGACACAGTCTTCTGATTGGTTGTTTCTGGTTTCTCGGAAAGTTACGCCATATATCTGCGAATCATATTTGCCCACGTTAAGTCTGCTGTGATTGGTTGTTGAATCAGCCTTGTTCAGATTTTTTCTCACGGCCAATATTAGTGACCTAGACATTGACGTAAATTAATGTCTATCCATTGGCTGACAGCCTGCTCTCACCACACTCGTGCCCCCGTCAAATAGTTTGGACTGAAGTCGGCTTGATCTTCTTGGTGTGGGCGTCATCGTTGGCTTGTCTCGCTGTATCCATTTCTGGAGGTCGCTGACGTTCACGCGCTTCTCCTGAAAACCATTGCGATTGTGTCTGCGTAACCCCATCTCGAAGTGACCATATGTGGTCCTTCCCACTTTGGAAACTGTTTGCCTGACCCTGTCACACATTCGTCGGTATTTCGACTCACACTTTCATATGCTGCTTTCGCCCGACCTCCCAGCAGCGTCCCGAGGAGCAGCTTCATCGTTGACAGATCTTGAACGCCACTCAACTGTGCAGAAGCTTTGAAGTCCTGTCCGAAGATCCATATGTCTCCATCAAAAACTGCAGGGCATAGGCTTTCCATTTGTCGGTAGGCAGTGACACCAAATGTAACAACAGAAGACAAGGGCCGGAAATACATCCTTTTATTACGGAAATCAGCACGTATTTATATATATTTCATGTACATTATTATAGCTTAATTCAAGCAAACAGACACAGTCTTCTGATTGGTTGTTTCTGGTTTCTCGGAAAGTTACGCCATATATCTGCGAATCTTATTTGCCCACGTTAAGTCTGCTGTGATTGGTTGTTGAATCAGCCTTGTTCAGATTTTTTCTCACGGCCAACATTAGTGACCTAGGCATTGACGTAAATTAATGTCTATCCATTGGCTAACAGCCTGCTCTCACCACAGATGTACGCTGTGGTCAGTATATAGCATCTGCCACAGTTAATGTAATTTATTTTGTTAACTGTTATTGATCTTGTCTTCTTTTGCTGTTAGGTCACTGATTGTTTTGGTTTGTGTTCCAAGTCTATTCTGGATGGTTTGAGTTTTTAGGTAGTTTTATTTTGGAAATATTTTTATATACTCTGGGATGAATATTTTTAATAGTTTCTTCGAATGTTTGTTTGTTGGTAGTTTTATTTAATTTTATGTATTCTTGATGAAATTGTTAGGATATCCAGTTTTCTTGGGGATGTGTGTGCAGTTTTCTAATATATATATTTCTCCTACTCTTCTCAGGAGTGGAGTATTGCAGAGTTTGTACGCAGTTTCTTTTGTGCACCGTTGGATTATTTTCCCCAGCGATCGCTACAGCATCAAAACATCCACCTGAGCTGCCAATTTTCTTTATTACTTCAATGTCGATGTTTATTCCAAAGTATTTATGAAATTTCAAAACATCTAGGTGAGAATTAATCCATTTGAGAAATTGTAACTTGGACAACATGCGTTATTCGCTTTAACTTGCAAGTTAATAGTTGAATACAAATTCATATGCAGGAGATATTAGTGTGACAACAACTTTAAGCCTCACAATAATAGTGAGTTAGTGTACTATTTGACAAACCGGCGCGTCACTGGTTCAGTGTTCAGGACATTGGTCAAACGAAGCAATTGGCCCAAGGCTCGATTCTCCGCCGACGCACCCCTAAACCTCGCTTGGTTGGTAGTAAACCCAAATGAAGAGGGAAGGTTGAGCCTGGGGCTTGCAATGCCATACCGTAAAAAAACCCACTTCTACTAAAGCTTCGAAGCTCTAGCTTGAAGGCCTATATTCCACTGGGAACGTGAAGTAATAAAATAATAAATTATAATACTTGCAAACCATACACTAATAAAGTATTTTAATAGGAAAACAATATGGCAAGCATTTTAGTAGTTAAATTATATAGAGAGAATTTAGAGAAATTTTCAAGTATTAGTTTTTGTAGGGATTTGTTTGATTGCATGGAGGATTTCACCATGAGATGACATCAGTTAGAGAACCATTGGAAAACCTCGGAGTACTGGACAGCTGCTTCGTCCTAGTTTGAGACTCTTCAGCAGTATGCACCCACCGAGATTCGAACCCAGGACCTTCTGGTTACAGGGCGAGCTCGTAGACCATTGAGCCACTGGGACCCAATCCAATGGTCCCTGAATTCTAACTTCTGCAAATTCACGACATAGCGCGACCACCTCGCAATGTATTCTTCAATGAGTTACTGCCTCGTCTTCAAGCTGCTGTACCCTACTGGTCACGGTTTCCCACTAGAACCCCAGGTTAACTGCCTGAATAGGGCCAGTCACTAGTGAGCATCAGATTAATTTTGAAGTATTGGATTTGTAGGGATTTGTTTAATTGCATGGAGGATTTCACCATGAGCTGACATCAGTTAGAGAACCACTGGAAACCCTGGGAGTACTGGACAGCTGTTTCGTCCTAGTTTGAAACTCTTCAGCAGTACGAGAAAGTTAAATATTGAGTGTGTACATCATTATTTCATTTGGCACTGATATGGATTCTGATGATATTATTTTGGCTAGCTGATAGAAAACCCCACTTCTCATGTCTGTTCCAACTGCCTTTTTATAATTCATCTACTGCATTACAATAATCCTTATTATTGACAGAGAATCATTTCATCCACAAACTCCATTATGATGGTATCATCTTTTAAATCTTTCGAATCATATTAAACGTGACTGACACTTTATTGCTATCATGTAGGTTGAGTCATGTTTAAATGAGAGAGTAGAGTTTTCTAAACATAAAAAAGGTGACTCATGAAGGTTTAGAAAACTCGACTGTCTCATCTAAACAGGACTCACCCCAACCTTGTTTCTTTTCTTTCCTTTTTTCTATTGGCTATTAGATAAGAGTGCGTCGATGGCATAGCGGTTAGGACGCTTGTCGACCAGGCACATGGTTCTGGGTTCGATTCCCAGCCGACGCACTCCTTTACCTCCCTAGACCAGAAATAATGCTGGTAAAGAGGAAAGGTTGGACATGAGGCTAGCAACCCCATCCTGTGAAATAAACGCTGCTATAGAAACGTCAAGCCACTAACTTGGAGCCCTGTGTTCTAGTGGGGAAAGTGAAGGAAAAGAAAATTAGATAAGACGTTTTCTTTAGTTATGTAATCTACTTTTTTGTTATGCTCTTTCTGGCTAAACCTTGTTTCTATACACACACATATATACACAACCCTGTTTTTCTTTCCAAGCCTAATTGTTCTATAAATAGTCAGTGTTTGTAACTCCTAATCAGTTAAATCATTCCGGACTAATGTTACTTTTAATTCCTACCAACGAATTACTCCTTATGATCGTGGAAAAGTATGTTCAAGTCTTTAATGTAATTCATATCTTTTAACGTCCAGGCTGCAACCAGTTGAGAAGAATCCTCGATTAAATAATAAAAGACAAGCTCATATTATCCTGGTACAATTGTTGTTCTTGCTTTGTTCAAGTTTATTAATGGGAAGAATTGCATGAACTAATTAATAGTCAACCTCGTCACCCTCCGATAGATTCTAGAGCATAGGCATTCCTACCGGCGTCCAACAGTCATTATATTTCTTGACCTAAAGGCAGCATTCGACTCTGTCGATCGGGAAGTTCTCTGGAGATGCTTGGCTGTAAAGGGAATTCCAAGAAAATATATTGCACTGATTAAGGCACTCTACTCGTACTCATACAGCCAGGTGAGGGCTTACGGCGAGCTGTCATCTGAACTGATGACGACCAGTGGTGTCCGTCAAGGATGCCCACTATCCCCTTTTCTATTCAACTTCATCATAGATGTGTTAATGGACTTAACCCTAGGTGACTTCAGCGACTCAGGGATTGACTTGCTACCGGGGAATAATCTCGTTGACTTGGAATATGCAGACGATATAGTCCTTCTAGGCGAAGACGCTGACGAAATGCAGAGTCTTCTAAACACCTTGAGCCGCAATCTACGAATGTTTGGCATGCGATTCGCTCCCGCGTCAAATGCAAGATGATGTTACAGGACTGGACTACATCGACGCCTAGTTTAAAAATAGGAAGTGAAGTGGTAGAGCACGTTGACCGCTTCACTTATTTGGGAAGTACCATCAGCCAGTGCCAATGGGTTGATCTCTGACGAAATTTCAGCACGAATACAAGGGGCTCGTTTCGCATTTGTTAGTTTACGCCGACCCTGGCGTAGACGAGATGTTCGACTATCGACCAAAGGGCGGGTGTACTGCTCATCAGTCCGCTCCGTCCTCCTTTATGGCTGGCTGTGAGACCTGGCCACTGAGAGTGGAAGACATGAAAAGATTAGCTGTCCTTGATCATAAGTGCCTGCGCTCTATTTCCCGTGTAAAGTGGCATAATAAGGTGAGCAACATGGAGGTTAGGCGTCGAGTTCTAGGTAAACAGGGGAAATCAATCGACGAAGTCGTGAAGCTACAAAGACTGAGACGGTTAGGACATGTGTTACGTATGCCAAGCCATCGCCTCCCTCGACGACCAATGTTAGCGGATATAGGGTCAAGCTGGAAAAAAGCTAGCGGCGGTCAAACAAAAACTTGGCATCAGTCAATGAAATCCACAACAGTTGGTCTAAGCCAGTCACGTAGGAAGGTGTAGACTTCCAGGCTGGGGTCCTCGGGACGGTAAAAATCTATGGTTGGAAACAATTGGTGACATGGCTCAAAACCGTTCTCAGTGGCGCAGATGCATCCACTCCTTGTGACTTATGATCTCCAATGAAACTGTTTTGTATTTCTTTATTACTCCTTTGTCTCACACCTCTGTTCACTGTTTCTATTATGCTTTTCTTGTACTTTCTTCTCTTGCTTCGCGTGCTACACGGAATGTGGCGACTTGAACTTCCGCACATTTGTGCAAAGTTCTATGTCGAAAACAGACAGACAGACAGACAGAACCTCGTCAGTTTCGTCATGATAATCACTATTTTTCATACGTTATTACTTATACACTTTAACCCTATTTTGCTGCTGACTGACGATAATCTTTGACCTCTGTCATCAGTTAACATTGTGTACATAATCCCACACAAATAACTGTAAAGCTTCAAAGTGAAATCACAAAAAATTACATCTTTGATGACTTATGTATTCTTAATAACTGGCTATAAATATCTGATGTGTGATTTGTCACATGATGTGTGTTTTGTTTTTGACAGTCTGTTATATTTTACTATATGTATGTGGATCGATATTCCATTATAACTGACAATATGCTTTTGTCTATCCATTAACTAAATAAATACGTTTGACCTTGTTGTCACATGACATTACAACCAACCATGGCAAGACTGTCTATCTATTGGTTCATGTATATTGGTCATTTTCATACAGTGGTTAGGACTCTCGCCGACCATCCACATGGTCCGGGGTTCGAACCCACGCCGACGCACACCTGATATCTATGGTCGGCCTGCGAATTTCGGGCTACCGATATCCACGCTGAAAATTCCATACTTGTACCAAAAGTACAGTGTGGAATCAAGCTGTAATCAAAAAAAATAAATAAAAATAAATAAATAAATATTTACTTATGTATTGTACACTTGTTCACACATTTCGTACACTACATACCCTTCACTCACACTCCTGTGTGACAGTCATTATTTTCCTTGTTTCAAAAATACAAGTATCATCGTGAACGAAGTGGTCTTCTGACTTTCCTCTTTCCGCGTCAGGACTATTAACCACTCGACGAGTACATAACACTTAAATTTGTAATCCAATACGACTTCTTAAATAAAATGCTGCTGCGTGACGAAGTCTCATGCAAAGAAGACCCTCACCGCACCCCCCCCCACACACACAAGAAAGGCAAAAAATTATGTATTTTATTCGATTGGAGAAACTGAATGATTACAAAATATCTACCATACACTGTTATCTTATATTCGTATCAGAATTCATCGGTAAACGTTGATGCATATCAATACATTATGATATGATAATTGGAGCGTCAACCACAACTAAGTCGAATGACGCTTGACAACCGAAAGATATTCTTCACCATCGCTTACAACTGGAACATCAACAGGTTGGTAGCCATAACTGTTGGCTGATTCCACGAAAGTTGCATACCTCGGAGGAGGTATTTGGGCTTGTGGCAACTCACTCTCACATTGACACTCTATTCTTCTCTTGACCATTGTGGACTGTTGTTGCTGTTGTTGTTGCTCTGATTGATCAGATGATGACTTACTCGATCTTTGGTCATCCGAAGAGCGAGTTGCATTTTGGTTTCCAAATTGCTGTCGACGAAATATCGATGCACTTCCTGCATTATTGATTTTACCACTTAGAAACTGAGTCCCTTGAGATATTTGACCTGCAATATTATTTGTTCTATCCAAAATTGGCTTTATTCCGTTTAAACTGAACCCCTTTGAAGTTGGCGCATATTCCAAAAGGATAAAAAGAAGTGTTGATAGTAGGAGTAAGCAGGGTACATGAAAATTGGTTCTATGCATACTGTGACTTATCTAACCTGTTAAATACAAATGCAAAGATAAACAGAATGTGGAATAAGAAAGTAACATCAAGTTCAAATATATTTTATAGAGAGTATACCTTATACTCAGTGATCAGTTTATCATAATTAATGCTAGCACTACATATCAAGGCCTATATTCTCATGAGAGAAATGTACTCACAGCATCTTTCAAGTAGGAAAATTATTGTGGAATTTCTTCAAAATAAGCCCCACGTGTTCCGAAAATCAAAACAAGATTTCTCTGAACTTTTCCTGGTATGAGCTACAGCTTTTTCTGTAGAATGCATTGGATTTCATTAGTCATCGTAACATATAGTCAAAAAGTACATAAATAAAAGTGAACTTTTTGGCAAATGATTTTGCTAAAAAGCCTGTGGTTTACACACGTAAAAGTCTAGTAAAATCTTGTTTTGATATTCAAGTGTTGGTTGGTAGGGGTTTGATTGATTACAAGATTTCTTCATGAGCCGACATTAGTTAGATAGCCATTGGAAAACCTGGGAGTACTGGACAACTATTTCGTCGTAGTTTGGGACTCTTCATCAGTACGCACCCAAAACCTTCTGGTTACAAGGCGAGCCTTATGGTCTACAAGCTAGCTCGCCTTGTAACCAGAAGGTCTTCGATTCAAACCATGGCGATGGGTGTGTACTGACGAAGAGTCCCAAACTAGGACGAAATAGTTGTCCAGTACTCCCAGGTTTTCCAATGGCTATCTAACTAATGTCAGCTCTTGATGAAACCCTGTAACTAATCTTGTTTTGCTTTTCTCTAATTGGTAAATTAGACTATGTTTTGTGATATATTTCCGTAAGGAAAATTATATTATTATTGAGCGAAGAAATATGTCTTATCAACGACTTCATTTTCAAGCCAACTAACTGTACAGTCGTATTTATATTACGAAAAAGAAGGCAATAATATGTGGCACTAGGACAGTGAAACAAAAGATTATCCAGTGCACTGACAAGCAACAAAAACAGGAGCTGAATGCAAGCTACAATACACTAAACAAAAGAGTGAAGAAGAGTACCAAGGAAGACAAAAAATATTATGAAACCATGGCAAACGAAGCAGAACAAGCTGCAGTGCAGGCAAAGGAGACCTCGCCACACTCTACCAAACAACTAGGCACCTTTCGGGCAAAAGTTCGGCACAGATTAAGCCAGTGAAGGACGACAATGGAAAGTCAATCACCAAAGAGGTGGAACAGAGAAAACACTGGGCTGAACACTTCAAAAAACTTCTAAATCGTCCGCCACCTACAACATGCCCAACAATACCAACAACGGAAGCGGAACTACCAGTGAACATTGACCCCCGACGAAAACAGAAGTCCTGAATGCAATCAAGATGCTAAAAGCTGGGAAAGCACCAGGACCAGATGGAATCCCAACAGAAGCATTGAAAATAGACCCAGAGACAACAGCGGACTTGATGACGCCATTGCTGGAGAAGGTGTGGAAAGAGGGCAAAGTACCCGAGGATTGGAAGAAAGGATACTTATTCAAACTACCAAACAAAGGAGACTTAAGTCAATGTAAAAACTGGCGTGGAATTATGCTTCTGTCCATTCCAAGCAAGATACTAAGTCGCATCATCCTGGAGAGAATCAAACAGGCCCTAGATGAAAAACTTCGACCGGAACAGGCCGGATTCAGGAGAAACAAATCATGTATTGATCAAATCGCCACTCTACGGATCATCATTGAAAAAAGCTTGGAATGGAAGTCACCTCTCTATCTCAACTTCATCGACTTTGAAAAGGCCTTCGACAGCGTCGATCGAGAGGTGATTTGGTAACTACTTCGCTACTACCAAGGGGTCCCATCGACAATTAAACATCTCATCCAACAGTTAGTTGTACGACAATGCTGCATGCCAAGTAATCCACAACGGGAAACTTACGCAAGCCTTCGAAGTAAAGACGGGAGTAAGACAAGGCTGCCTACTACCGCTAATGATTTCCCTGATTGCAATTGATTGGATAATGTGACAGACAACGGTCAATGAGGAAACAGGCATAAAATGGACTCACACAAAAAACTTGGAGGATCTGGACTTCGCCGATGATATATGTCTGATTTCCCACAAACTGGAAGATATGCAAGTGAAAAGTAACAAGTTGGCAGAAGAAGCATCAAAAGATAGGACTTCAGGTGAACATTGATAAAAAAGAGGTGATGAAGATTCCTGGCCAACATCAACAACAACACAACAACAACAGACAACAATCAGCATAAATGGGAGGAACCTGAAAGAAACAGCCTCCTTCACCTACCTGGGAAGCATCGTTCCAACTACAGGCCGAAGGAACTGACGAGAATATCAAGAATCGGAAAAGCAAGACAAGCTTTCATTACTCTCGAATCTGTATGGAGGTCAACAGCACTCACCATCAAAAATAAGATCCGGATTTTCAACTCCAATGTAAAGTCAGTGCTACTTACCATATGGATCAGAGTCTTGGCCAGCGCGTCATAAAGAGCATCTCAAACAAACTATAGACTTAACAGCTGTCTTCGCTCACTACTACTCAAGATCAGATGGCCAGAAAAGATCAGCAACAGGGATCTCTGGGAGCGAACCAATCAGGAACCGATTGTGAAACAAATAGGCAGGAAGAAATGGAGATGGATTGGCCATACTCTGAGGAAACCATCAAGTAACATCACTAGACAAGCCATTGCTCGAGTGGAAACCGAAAGGGGGGCGGCGAGTTGGTCGTCCAAGGGTGACTTGGAGGAGGTCATGCGAGGAGGAGATGAAAGCATGTGGACAGACCTGGAGTGGGGTGAAAAAGTTGTCAGAAAACCGAAGGCAATGGAGATGCGCAGCTGAAGCCCTGTGTTCTTCTAGGAGCTAAAGGATACAATAATAATAATACTGGGAGTTACTCGGCCAATATTGACCACATAATTGGGTTCTTTTCAGTATATTAAATATTCCCCTTATTAAAATTTAGAACAACACATTTAAGCGAACAATATTGTGGTTTCAATTAGATCTCATCAGGCTTAACTCTAATGTACACAAGTTTACAAATAAAATACAAATATAAACCAATCATGGTGTTTTGTCTATAGGATAATACGATGGTGCATATAAATTGTGCAATTAGTTATAATAGTAGTAATGATAATAATATTAATGGTCTCATCAGTAATAAGGATGAAAAATTGAGGCAATCTGTGATGACACGAATAATGAAAAACAGTATGATTAAACAAACAGTTGTTCAGGTGGAAGTAGTCGATCAAGGCTAGTAAAAACAAATGAACCGATTATGTAATGTTAGATTGTAAGGGAAGGAAATGAAAGACGTTTATAATGAAGATGAGATTAAGGGATGATAAAAAGGGGTTGAAGATATAAACAAGAGGTAGTTGGTTATGTCTTAAAAGGCCAAGGGAGAGATAATGGCTTTACGAACTTCTTTTGAATGCATAGTTTAGGTTTAATAGTCCGAACGCCTATCACCTCAAATGTGTGTGTGCAGTAGACGAATACGAAGTCTATTAAAAAGATTCGGTGGGATAAGATGAATTACTTTGAAAGCTTTCTTTTTCTCCACTACATGACCACTATCAATTAAATGTGACGTAATTGAGCTACGGATTGTTTTTGTGTGTCCTTTGCCAAACCACGATGGGAGATGTTCACTAACACGTTGGCTAAGCTGTCTAGTAGTACGTCCAACATAACTGTCACCGCAGGTGCAGTTGAAGTGATAAATGCACATAGATGTGGCGAAACTATCAAGCTTATCCTTCGTTTGCATCCCAATCATTAGTCAGCTGGAGAATGACAAACATAGGTGTGCTGCGTAAAGTGCTCTTCGTATACTCCTTGAAAGTCTTCGGAATAGAATCTCATTGGATAAGTCCCCATTAAATTGTAACTTAATAAATAGAGGTTTCTTATGTGCAGTCAGAGTCTCAGGTTTTTTCTCTGGTCTTTTCATATGTTTCGTTATGAAACTACTCGGATAGCCCATCTCCGTCATGGGATCGTAAATATATTCAAATTTCTTTTGTAAGAGGTCATCCGTAGATATCCTACTTGCTCTGCTCTCAAGACATTTAATGACATTTCTCTTATATTTAATGGGCACGTAACTAAGGAAGTGTGTGTGTACTGCCCTGTGAATGTGCTTTTTCTATACACACTTTTCCCAAGTGACCCATCTTCTTGCCTACTTAGCAAGACATCCAGAAAATGCAGTTTATTCTCTTGCGAAGACAGCATTGCTATATTTTTGTATGTGCTCAACTGAATGACTAGTTAGCAGATTGTACCCACAAACTAAAGTCAAAAAAGACAACAACCATGTAATTTTACCACGAACCAAATTCATGTAATTTAAATAATACTTATCCATGCCTATAAAACTGGTGTGTCCTACATAGGTAGAAATAAATATTTATCATTATTATTATTAAATATAATTAAAATTATTTATTGAGTTAAAGTTGAATTGGGTGAATTACAAAACTGTTAAAGATTATTAAGTGGGTAAATTGGCATTAAGATTTTAAAAGTAGTAAGTCAAGTTTTGTGTAAAAGTCTAACAGTACGATGATGATGATGATGGCACGTCATAAAGAGCATCTCAAACAAACTACAGACCTTCATCAACAACAGCTGTCTTCCCTCAATACTACTCAAAATCAGATAGACTGCCAGAACATATCAATAACAGGGATGTCTGGCAACGAGCGAACCAACCCAGTAGGAACCTATTGTGCAACAAATCTCCAGGAAGAATTGGAGGTGGATTGATCATACTCTGAGGAAACATCAAGTGACATCACTAGACAAGCCCTCGAGTGGAAACCGAAAGGGGGGCGGCGATTTGGTCGTCCGAGGGTGGGGTGACTTGGAGAAGGTCATGAGAGGAGGAGATGGAAGCATGTAGGCAGGCGTGGAGCCAGATGAAAAGGTTGTCAGACGTGCGCCTGAAACCCTATGTTCCTC